TCTGGCAACCACCAGTTCTTTCTCCGTATTTAAGAATCTGGTTTTTTGTTTCTCTCTTTTTTTCTTTGTTCATTTGTTCTATTTCTTAAATTCCACATACAAGTGAAATTGCATGATATCTGTTTTTCTGTCTCTGACTTATTCACTTAGCATAATACATCTAGGTCCATCCATGTTATTGCCGATCTGACCAGGACATTTTATTTTATTTTATTTTACAATTTTATTTAATTTTTTAATTTTTTATTTAAATTCAATTAATTAACATTTTTTAAAAAGATTTTATTTATTTATTTGTCACAGAGAGAGAACACCAGCAAAGGGAGCGGCAAGCAGAGGGAGAAGCAGGCTCCCTGCTGAGCAAAGAGCCTGATGCAGGACTCGATCCCAGGACCCTGGGATCATGACCTGAGCTGAAGGCAGATGCTTAACCAACTGAGCCACCCAGGTGTCCCCAATTAAATAACATTTAATGTATTATTAGTTTCAGAGGTAGAGGTCAGTGATTCATCAGTCTTACATAACACCCAGTGCCCATTACATCACGTGCCCTCCTTAATGTCCATCACCCAGTTACCCCAGCCCTTCACCCTCCTCCCCTCCAGCAACCCTCAGTTTGTGCCATACCACCCTGAACGTGCCCGATCTCGTCTGATTAAGAGTCTCTTATGGTTTGTCTCCCTCTCCGAATTCATCTTGTTTTATTTTTTCCTCTCTTCCCCTGTGATCCTCTGTTTTGTTTCTTAAAATCCAAATATGAGTGAGATCATATGATAATTGTCCTTCTCTGATTGCCTTATTTCACCCTCTAGTTCCATCCACGTCGTTGCAACTGATTTCTGTACATTGATTTTATATCCTGCCACATTGCTGAATTCTTGTATGAGTTCTAACAATTTTGGGGTGGAGTCTCTTGGGTTTTCCACATAGAGTATCATGTCATCTGCAAAGAGTGAGAGCTTGGCTTCTTTGCCAATTCGGATGCCTTTTATTTCTCTTTGTTGTCTGATTGGTGTGGCTAGGACTTCTAGTACTATATTGAACAGCAGTGGTGATATGTCCTGCATGTTTCACCAGGACATTTTTTTTTAAAGATTTTTATTTATTTATTTGACAGAGAGAGAGACACAGCGAGAGAGGGAACACAAGCAGGGGGAGTGAGAGAGGGAGAAGCAGGTTTCCCACCGAGCAGGGAGCCCGATGTGGGGCTCAATCCCAGGACCCTGGGATCATGACCTGAGCCAAAGGCAGACGCTTAACGACTGAGCCACCCAGGCGCCCCTCACCAGGACATTTTAAAAGGAAAATTACAGGTCAATATTTCTCATGAACACAGATATGAAAATTCTGAGAATCTAATTATTTATTAAAATGATCGTGAACAAGAGGTCATTTTTTTCCAGGGAAAATACAGGTTGATTTAAAATAAGAAAATCAGACAATGTAGTTCATCAAATTAACAGAATAATAGAGGAAAGCTATATGATCACCTTAATAGATGTGAAAAAGCGTTTGATAAAATTTAAATTGATATGTGATAAAGACACTACAAAAACTAAAAAACAAATCCCAAAGCTAACATTATACTTAATAGTGAGATATATAGACTATTTCCAGAAAAAAGTAACAAAATCTTTGAAAGTTGAGATTATTTTGCAATAGTCGGAGTTCATTAACTGTCATGAAATATGCCTTGTGCCTGTAACCACATTTCTAAGAGTATCCCTTCATGTAGCCTCAGACTCCAGTGTAAATCATTTTTGTCTCCTAAAAGAAGCACCCCTGTCACAAAATGTAGTCTGTGGTGAAGGAACGGGAGGTGTTCTGACAGGAGGAGGGGGATCTTTCCCAGCCCTCCCTAGGTATTCGTCTTCCTATGAAGAAGAGAATATGATTGGAAATCTTCCAGAATATTTCTGAGAGGTGTTTCTTGAACTTCTCACCCATGAAAGCATAGATCACAGGGTTCACACAGCAGTGAGTGAAGGAAATGGTTTCTGTGACATGGGTGGCATAAATCAGCCGCTGGCTCAGGACACATCCATCCAAGATGTTCATGTTGAGCAGAGACGTGAGGAAGAGGGCCACGTTGAATGGGACCCAGAAGAGTAAAGATGCAATCACCACAATGAGCACCAACTTGATGGCCTTGGTCTTGTTGTGATTTTGGCAACTCTTCAGCTGGTGCAGGATGCTAATGTAGCAGAACATAAGGATGGTGAATGGGATCAACAGACCCAAGATATTCATTTCAAAGTGGATGAAGATCTTCCACTTCAGAGTCTGCTGGTTGTAAGACGAGTAACACTGCAGAATGCCATCTTCAGAGGCCACTTGGTACAATACTAGTAATGGGCTGGTGGCCATGAGGGCCATCAGCCACACGGCCAGACTCAGGGCTGTGCCCATCCTGGCTGTCCTCACTTTCATGGCATAGACAGCGTGGACGATTGCCAGGTACCTGTCCACACTCATAAGGGTGATAAAGAACATGCTGCTGAAGAAGCCAATGTAATAAAAACCAGAGACCACCTTGCACATTACAGTCCCAAACACCCACTGGTCCAGCTGATAGTGGGTTTGGAAGGGGAAGGAGAAGACAAAAAGCACGTCAGACAGGGCCAGGTTCAAGAGGTATATGTCGGTGATGCTCTTCAGCTTCTTACAGGTGACAAGGACAAGGATGACCAGGCTGTTTCCCAGAAGACCAAATACAAACAAGACGCAGTAAAAGACAGCAAGAAGCAACTTGCTATCTCTTTGGATAAGCTCCCCATCACAGGGGCTTGCGATGTCATCAGGATAGTAGTAGTCAGTTACCATGGTCACATTGGGCTCCAGTGTATAATCCATCAAGGCGGGAGGACCAGGTCAGAGAGGTGCCTAAGAGAGATTCATTCCTTAAAAATATTTTCATTTAAAAATATAGACTGAATTCTAACTGCCTCCCCTCACCTCATTCATATTTTGAAGCCCTAAAGCCCCGTTACAGACTGAACATTTGTTTCCTCCCCAAATTCATATGTTTTTTTAAAAGAAAAACATTTTATTTATTTACTTTGATGGAGAAAGAGAGAGAGACATCGAGAGAGGGAACATAAGCAGGGGTAGTGGGAGAGGGAGAAGCCGGCCTCCCGATGCAGGGATCCGTCCCAGGACCCTGGGACCATGACCTGAGCCAAAGGCAGGCGCCTAACAACGGAGCCACCCAGGTGCCCCTCAAGATTCCTATGTTAAAGCCCTACCCCACTTTGTGATGGTATTAAGCAGTGGGTTCTTTGGGAAGTAATTGAGTTAAATGAGGTCATGAGACTAGAGCCCTCATGAATGGGATGAGTGCCCTTATAAGAGTCACAGGAGAGCTTGCTTCTTCTCTCCGCTCTCAGCCACGTGAGGTTATAAGGAGAAGTCGGCGGTCTGCAACCTGGAAGAGGGTTCTCATCAGAGCCTGCTGGCACCCTGATTTTGGGCTTCTCAGCCTCTAGAATGGCGACAATTACATTTCTGTTGTTTATGAACCACCCAGTCTCCGTTATTCCGTGATAGCAGCCCAAACCGACCAAGACACCACCTAGGTCACTATATTTGGAGATGAGCCAGTAAGGAGGTAATTATAGTTAAATATATCATAAGGGTCGGGCCCCAATCCATAGGCCTGGTGTCCTTATAAGAAGAAGAGTCACCCGAGCATACAAGCTCTCTCTCTCTCTTTCTTTCTCTGCACGCACAGGGAAAAGACCAATGAGGACACAGCAAGAAGATGGAGGGTTGCAAGCCAGGAACAGAGGTCTTACCAGAAACCGGCCCTCTTGGCACCCTGATCTTGGATCTCTAGCCTCCAGGACCATGACAAAATTAATTTCTGTTGTTTAAGCCACCCGGTCTGGGGCACTTTGGTATGGCAGCCTGAGCTGACTGGTACAGATTATGATACTGAGAAGTGGGTGCTACTGTAACAGATATCTAAATGGCTTTGGAAGCTGCTAATGGGCGGAGGCGGAAGGAGCCTGAGGCGCGTATGCTAGAAAAAGCCGAGGTTGCCTGTTGGTGGCAATGTGGATGGTAAAGGTGATTATGCTGAGGGCTCGGGAAGAAGAGAGGAGGCTGGAGAGAGAGCTTCCATGGTCTGAGAGATTACAGGTATCATCATGAACAGAACGGGGGCGGAAATATGAACGTTAAAGGTGAGGTCTCAGGCAGAAATGAAGAATATGTTATTGGAAGTGGAAGAATTGGATCCTTGCTATAAGTGGCAGAGAACTTGGTTGAATTGTGTTCTAGTGTTTTGCGGAAGATTGGGTATTTGTCTGGGGTATTCCTAAGCCAAGGTTAAGAGGCAGCCTGGCTTCTCTGTGCCGATTATCATAAAATGCTAGAGGAGAGAGGTAAGTTGAAGGAGTCGTTACACAAAGAGGAATCCGAACTCGAAGATTTGGAAGCCTGTCCGTACCACAGAAATGAGGAAGTGTTTCTGGAGAATACGCCTAAGGTGTGGCTGGAGGACCACTCCACAGAGAGGTCACCCATGGAGTTCATCGGCCATTTCAACAGAAGCTAGGGGTAGAGACACTGTCGGTTTGGTCCAAAGCTGCAGAGACAGGACAAAATAAACCAACGCGTTTGGACTTCTGGGATTCTACAGGATGGGACAATAGAGCCATATGCCTGCGAGTACATTTTATCCTTCAAGAAAACGGAGGAATGACCCTGAAGATACAGAAATCATCAGGGCTAGCACTGTCCCCACAGGTGCAAGGGGTAAGACTGTTTCCTCCCCTTCCGGCAGGAGGCCCACCGCTTGGTGCCCTGGGGGCGGGGCCCCAGCCTGGGGTCCTGAGGTGACGCTGCCACCTAGTGGGGTTTTTTTTTAAGATTTTATTTGTTTATTTGATAGAGACACAGGGAGAGAGGGAACACAAGCAGGGGCAGTGGGAGAGGGAGAAGCAGGCTTCCCGCTGAGCAGCGACCCCGATGCGGGGCTCAATTCCAGGACACTGGGATCACGACCTGAACCGAAGGCAGAAGCTTAACGACTGAGCCACCCAGGCGCCCTGAAAATTATTCTTGAGCCTTACAACCTAATTGAATTTGCCTTGCTAGCTTTGGGGCTTGCCAGAGACCCACCACCCCTCTGTGCTTTCTGATTTGTTCCCTGCGGCATGGGAATCTCTGTCCTATGCCTGTCCCACCGCTGTATTTTCGAAGCGTGTAACTTGTCTGGTTTCACAGGCTCACAGCTGGAGAGGAATTCAGCCTCAGGTCTCACTCATACCTGATTTAAATGATACCCAGGTGAGACTTTGGATCTAGGATTGATACTGGAATGGGTTAAGACTTTGGGAGCTGTTGAAATGGAGTGCATGTACTTTGTACTTGAGGACGTGAATTTTGGGAAGCCAGAAGGCAGGATGTTAAAGACTGAATTGTGTGCCCATATATTGAAGCCCCAATTCCTACTGTGATGATATTTGGAGATAGAGCTTCAGGAGGTAATTGAGGTTAAATGATGTTGTAAGGGTGAGGTCCTGATCTGATTGGACTGGTGTCCTTCTAAGAAGAGGAAGAGATACCAAAAACCTCTCTCTCTTTCTCAGTACATGCCTAGAGAAAAGGTCCTAGGGGGTCAAATTAAGAAGGTGACTGTCTGCAAGCCAGGACGGGGCACTTATCAGGAACCCAATATATCAGCACCTTGACCTTAGACTTGGAGCCTCCCGACCCCTGAGAAAATACATTTCTGCCATTTGACCCACCCAGCCTGTGGTACATTGCTATGGCAGCGGAAACAGACGAAGGAGTCCAGGGGTGGGGGAAGGAGCATATGGAAACTGTATTTTTCCATCCAAATTTCCTGTAAACCTAAAGCTTCTGTAAACATTAAGGTCTATTAACATGCTTTTAAAAATTGAAAACTGCCCCAGCTGACCAATACAGGGGGGATTGGGTGGGATAAGAAAAGCCAAAATTTATGAAGACAATTTAAAAATTTTTTTTAAGATTTTATTTATTTATTTGACAGAGACAGCGCGAGAGAGAGCACAAGCAGGGGGAGTGGGAGAGGGAGAAGCAGGGGGAGTGGGAGAGGGAGAAGCAGGCTCGCCACCTCCCCCCACCCAGTAGGGAGCCTGATGCGGGGCTCGATCCCAGGATCCTGAGATCATGACCTGAGCCGAAGGCAGACGCTTAACGACTGAGCCACCCACGCGCCCCTTATGAAGACAATTTAAATACCTATCGTTCCACGACCCAGAATTAGCAATTGCTAACGTATTGTCAGATTTGCTTTTAGTTCTTTTTTCTTTCTTTCCCTCTCTTCCTGCCTTTCTAATGCAATACAGATGAAGCCAGAGTTCTCTTTACACAACCGATTCCCAGACCCCGGAAGCAAGTACAGAAACCAGTCTGGTACGGTTCATTCCAAACAGTTTCCCCTGTCCTTTTACATATTTTAATGTACCCCTAAATAATATATAATATTGTTTTGTGCTCACTTTTGACTTACACAAATGGTTGTCATGTCCCTCATTTTGTATCTTACTTTTCTTCTCCCCGCACTGTTGTTTTAGAAAGACAGCCACGCTCTTCTAAAGACTTCAGTTCATTCTTTTCACTGCTTTTATAAGCACCATAAATAACTATTTTAAAAATGCAATAGAAAAAAAAAACAATCCCAATCATTCTAGCAAAAAAATTGCTAAGGTTTCTAAGAACAAATGTGATTAAAACAGCAGCTCAGTTATGTAAAATATTATGAAACTTTGTCATCAAAGAGGACACAATTAAAAAGGAAACATTGCTATAGTTATGTGAGGGAAGACTCAACAATTACAACATGATAATTCTCGGCTTGATATTCACATTCAAGACGCTTTCAATTTGGACATTATTTTTCCAAGGTGTTTGGCTTCTGAACATTCAGACATCCCTGTCCACGAAGCCACCTTTCTTTCTATATTTTGAAATGCCTAGCAAGTTAGCCATTTTTAAAGATATTAATTTTATTTAAGTATGTACCCAAAGTGGGTTTAAAAACATAGTTTCTGAAGTATGGAGGTGGGTCTTTTTTTTTTTTTTGTGGCTAGTATCTCTCAAAATAATAGTCTCTCCTCCTACCTCTTCCTTCCCACTTGTCTAACAGTTGTTTAAAAAAAATAATTTTCTGTTTGCCTTCCTTCTATTCAGCTCTCCTAATAACCTAGAATAAGGGGAAGTCCTCAACTTATTCCTTCCCCAGATCCTTCCTGCTGAACCCCAATCCATTCTTCCCCCATGCTCTCTCATCAGTAAAATCTATGTGAAGTATTAAGAATGTCCATCATTTATTACAGTGGACAAGGTGTTTTAGATGCATTCTTTCATTCATTTCTCTTGAATCCCTGTAAAGCAGGCCCTCGTACCTCCTGTTTGTGGAGTTAGGGTTGTTATCTGAGTCTCAGAGACCATCAGTCCACTGACTAAAGTTACAGAGAGGGAGGCCATAGAGCCAGGACTCAAAACTACATCTACTCCAAATGCTTTTTCCTCTTCCATATTAGCTATTTTGTGGGTAGAGTAAAAACACTCCAGTCTTTTAGAAGTTAGGCCACCTGACTTTCAAGTTCTAGACTATCTTGTAACAGCTGAGTAACGGTTTGTCTGATAGAAACCTTGTAACCAGCACAAGGACAGATGCCTGGTGGTAAGAGGTATTTTCTTATCAACCTTCCCACTCTTATAGGAGCTTTGACTCCCTCCTAGCATCCTGCAGAGAAAATGGCATGGCTTGCCTCCCTCAGTCAGAGCCATGGACAGCCACTGAGACATTTGCAGGTTTGTGGACTCAGGACATGCAAAGATTAAAAAAAGAAAAAATTCACCTCTTCTGCCAGACTTCTGAAATATTTGCCTGCCCTTTGCTTTTTTCCCAGGGACATAAAAGTGTCCCTCCCTACTTCTATCCTTCTTCCCCAAGGATGCTCATTATTACATACCTTAATTAGAGTCTTTGTTCTGGAGATTTCAGTGTTGCTAATTCCTTCTTTTCAGAACCTGCCCTCTGTGTGTGCAGCCCAGTGAGCAAGAGCTCCTCTCAAGGGAGGTATCTTATCTATTTGTGGTGAGTGGCAGAATAGGGGTGGATCTACCATCCCACAGTTATTTAAGAAGTTAGAAAAAAAATTGATCTCACCCAAAATATACGTACGAGATGGCAAATGAGCATATGAAAATATGCTAAACACCTTATGTCATTAGGGAATTGCAAATTAAAACAACAGAGAGATATCACTACATAATTATTAGAATGGTTAAAGTCCGAAACCCTGACAACACTGAATGCTAGATAGAATATAAAGCAAGAGGAACTCTCATTTACTGCTGGTGGGAATGCAAAATTGTACCGCCACTTTGGAAGACAGTTTGGCAAATTTTTTTTTGAAAGAAGATTGGCAATTTTTTATAAAGCTAGAATAGGCTTACCATATGATCCAGAAATCATGCTCCTGAGTATTTACCCAAATGAGTTGAAAACATATCCATACAAACCCCTGAGCATGAATATTTATAGCAGCTTTATTCATAATTGCCCCAAATTGAAAGCAACCAGGATGTCCTTTGGTCAAGGAATGGATAAACAAGCTGTGGTAATGTACACAACGGAATATTATTCAGTGATTTAAAAAAACTATCAAGCCCCCCCACACACACACACAAAGACACTTTATGCGTATATCGCTAAGTGAATGAAGCCCATCTGAAGAGGCTACATCTCATCTGATTCCAACTATATGACATTCTGGAAAAGACAAAACTACAGAGACAGTAGAAAAAAGGTAAATGGTTTCCAGGGGCTCAGGGGGAGAAGGGTGAAAAGGTGGAACACAGGACATTTTTAGGGTGGTGAAACTATTTTGTATGAAACTGTAATAATGGATACACATCATTGTGCATTTGTCAAAACCCAAAGAAGGTACAACACAGAATGAACCCTAATATAAACTGTGGGCTTCAGTTAATGATAATCTATGTTGATTCATCAATTTTAACAAATGTACCATGCTAATGCAAGATGTTAATTAGAGGAGAAACTGTGTGAGAGGAGGAGGTGGTATTACAGACTGAATTATGTCCCCCCCCAAGATGCATATGCTGAAGCCCTAACCCCCATTGTGATGGTATTTGCCTTTAGAGATGTAATTAGAGTCAAATCAGGTCATAAGGATGGGGCCTGGATCTGATAGGACTGGTGTTCCTATAAGAAGAGGAAGAGAAGGGGCGCCTGGGTGGCTCAGTTGGTTAAGCGTCTGCCTTTGGCTCAGGTCATGATCTCAGTGTCCTGGGCTGGAGCCCCGCATCAGGCTCCCTGCTCATCGGGGAGTCTGCTTCTCCCTCTCCCTCTGCTGCTCCCCCCCCTTATGCTCTCTCACTCTTTTTCTGTCAGATAAATAAATGAAATCTTAAAAAAAAGAAGAAGAGGAAGAGACACCAGAACGCTCTGACTGCATGTGTACAGAGAAAACACCATGTGAGGACACAGCAAGAAGGTGGCCATCTACAAGCCAGGAAAAGGCTCTTACCAGGAACCCAATTTGTCAGCACCTTGATCTTGGACTTCTAGCTTCCAGAACTGTGAGAAAATACATTTCGATCATCTAAGCCACCCAGCTTGTGGTATTTTGTTATGATGGCTCAAACAGACTAATACAGGATATATATGAGGACTTTCTGTCTTTTCTACCTAAATGGTCTGCATACCTAGAACTTCCCTAAGAAATAAAGTCTATTAAAATCTTTTTAAAGATTTTATTTATTTATTCATGAAAGACAGAGAGAGAGAGAGAGAGAGAGAGGCAGAGGGAGAAGCAGGCTCCCAAGGAGCAGGGAGCCCGACGCGGGACTCGATCCCAGGACCCTGGGATCACGACCTGAGCTGAAGGCAGACGCTCAAGCATCTGAGCCACCCAGGCGCCCAGTCTAGTAAAATTTTTTACTGAAAACTATATTAAAATAAGATGACCATTTTATCATTATTCTGAAGTTGTATAATTTCTATCTGTACTGGCTCTCCTTCATGGCATATGGCAGGCCCAAGTGTGGTGGATATGTGTGTGTATATGCATATATATTTGAATTATAGTGGTAGCAGTGATCATTTCTGTTAATGATTTCATTACTTACATGCTGTACATTGAAAATATCATCATTATGAAATGTTCCCTCTTTTCGTCCCATGGTGAGCAGAGTAATAATGTAATGGCCATGTTGCTTACGTCTGTCAACATCCCTTCTTTAGATGAATCTTTAGATAAAGGGACATCCATCTAGCTCCCATTCCATGCATTGCTGGTGCGGCTGCCATTCACACTGACACACTCACACACACACATGCACACACACATGCACACACACAAGCATGCACACCATTAAAAGGAAGGAAGGCTCCTTGACTCTGGTCTGGTCAAGGAGAATGTTTCATTTTCCCATCCATGCTCATGATTGAATTACAGAATCTCACATCTTGAGCCCCCATGTGGCAGAAAACTATCTGAAGGATGAAACCAAGCAAGGAAAATTAGGGCCAAGAAATGGAGAAAATATATAATTCTGATGAAATCGTTTGTGCTCTTGGAATGACAGTTGTATGATTCATTAGTGTCCTCTCCCCCCCCCCCCAACCTCCAGCCACCCTTTTAAGCATAAGCTAGTTTCAGTTGGGTTTCTGGCACAACTAAAAGAGTAGAGACTGATTTGATAGCTCCCAGTTATCGAGTGCTGTTTATGTGCCAATTCCTTTCTATACTTCATCCTCATTAGATCTCATGAAGATTATGCATGAGAGTTATTATCACTTTTGTTTGAGAAACTGAAGCTCAGAGAAGTGAGGTGATGTGGCAGTGGTCACCCAAATAGTTAACTGAAGGCTAGACTTAAAATGCAGGTCCAAGGGATTACACCGTCCAAACTTTTAATTTCATTATCTTAAAACTGGCAAATAGGGCGCCTGGGTGGCTCAGTTGGTTAAGCGACTGCCTTCGGCTCAGGTCATGATCCTGGAGTCCCGGGATCAAGTCCCACATCGGGATCAAGTCCCACATCGGGCTCCCTGCTCAGCGGGGAGTCTGCTTCTCCCTCTGACCCTCTTCCCTCTCGTGCTCTCTATCTTTTATTCTCTGTCTCTCAAATAAATAAAAAAATAAATAAATAAAAATAAAAAAAATAAAACTGGCAAATATCAGAGCCCTTGGGTTCCAATGTGTGTTGCGTCAAAACCGAGCATTAGGTTCTGAAGGTTAACTCTTTCAAAAAGAAAGCCTTTGGAGGCTCACCTTAGATGAATTTCCCAGGGCCCAAAGGAGTGAGCAGGTCCCCAGATGTTGGGAGGGAGCTTTAGAAGTTCCAGAAACTCCCCACCTTCAACCCAGTCATTTCTGGAAGGATGCAATAGATTCCTTGCATTCATGGTCCCAGTGTTTCATGGAGCAAGTGGAGACATGCTCATTCTTGTAACTCTTTATTACCATGAAAATATGCCTCAGTTGGCCAGCTGGAGGAGAATCACGTTACTTCACTCAACCTAGCCAAGGCCAACCTAGACCTGCCAGCCAACTCCATGAGCTAATGTTCAAGTGAGCCCATCCACGATCAACAGGGCTGCCTATCTGCCCACCACAGATGTATGAGCAATAAACACTTGTCAAATACAGCTGAGGCTTTTTTCATTGTTTATTATGCAGCGTTGGTGTGATAAAAACTAACTGATAAAAGTGGTCTTGCCAGATTAGGGGGTAGGGAAGCCTGTTGTGAATGGACACGTTCTTTGGGATGTCAGAAGAGAATCCCCTAGAAGGAGGGGAATTTGGGAGAAAGAAAGTATGGGAGTGATGAAAACTGTCATTATCACCACTGTTTAATTCTAGAATGCAAATCAAACTCACAGCCCATTTGTCTCCCACTCTTAACTTCTTTGTATGTAGAATGAGGGTGTAGTTTCCTCCTGGAAGCTTCTGAGGAAGAAAGTGAGGTATCAGCATGAAGGCAGAGCACATCACAGGTGGTTGGTCCTCTAATCCTCACTCTTGAGTTTACCCCTTCCCCATATTTTCACCCCAAATCTGGAGTGGGAGTAAACAGGGGCTACCACCACTCTGTGGGACATGGTAACTTGGGAGAAAATTTTCAGTATGTGTTAAGAAAGTCAGAGAATAGGATGAGAACAGGAGGTGACAGGAAAACCACCAAGGTAACCAGGAAAGTCTTTGCTTGCTGCTTCCACTGTGCAACATAGTATCTGTGCAAAGGAGCACAGGAGCTCAGCTAAAAGTAATCTGGGAGTGTCTGTATATATAATATAAATATAAATATAAAACGTCTGGGAGAACCTTGGGGCCACCTTTTAGAAATCTAAGTTAAGGTAATAATCCAAAATGTAGGAGGGAAAAAAAACTATCTACAAAGCTACAATAGGATGTAATTTATAGTAGAAACGACTTGGAAAGCACTTAAAAGCTTAAAAAAAAAAGAGAAAAGGAAAGTAGATGGCTTAATTCTTTATTTTTATTGTGTTCAGTTAGCCAGCATATAGTACATCGTTAGTTTTTGATGTAGTGTTCAACGATTCATTAGTTGCGTAAAACACCCAGTGCTCATCACAACAACGTGCCTTCCTTAATACCCATCACTTGGTTACCCCATTCCCCCACCTACCTCCCTTCTGTAACCTTCAGTTTGTTTTCCGGAGTCCAGAGTCTCTCATGGTTCGTCTCCCTCTCTGATTTCTCCCCCTTCAGTTTTCCCTCCCTTCGCCCCTTAAGTTTCACATATGAGTGAAACCCTATGGTAATTGTCTTTCTCTGCTTGACTTATTTCACTTAGCCTTCTACTGTGGTACCTGCACAAACATTCAGCCATTGGAAGAATACAATGTTAGGTTAAAAAAAAAAATACCCCGTTTTATCTGTATATTATCTAGAATGGTTGCCCCACATCACTTGATCCTTTGTGCTTTCTTCCACACAGTGATGGCAATGGGCATTTCAGGGATAGAATTGTGAAGTGAGGATATGGTTTATGTCTGCTGGTTGGGACCATGCCAGTAGGGCCACCTGCATGGAGGATCATATTTTGCCTCAACAGAAGAGGCAAAGACCTAACAGGCCTGATAAAAACAGACCCAGTTGGTCAACTTGCTGCAGAGGTCTACCACCATAAGCACCTTCACTGTGGAGTGCAGACCATCCCAAGAAGACAACAGAGAGATGGGGCACAACTCCAATGAGGAGCAGTAAGAGAGGGGCAAAGAGGAACCAGAGCTGTTCTTCCCACGACTGCTCCCCCTCGTGGACGTATGGGGGAGTTCCCCTCAGAAACATGGAGGAAATTAAGAGCTCCCAGTGTGGAGGACATCCATGTCACTGTTATATTTCAATTCAGATACAATTTAAAATGGCTACGTATTCCTCTAAATTTTGCTTCATGACCCATGAATTCAATCTTTTTGCCTCACAAATTTCATCTCTTAGAAATATCTGCCGGTGCCTGATTTCATACCTGGGTAACTCCCCTCACCAACATCATTCAGGCTCTGACGCAGTTTGGGGAAAACCCCGGATACCTTAGGCGAGTTTTGTACCTATAAGCAAAGATCAATGGCTCACAGATGGTGAAACTCAGGCTCACAGGTACTGCTGACTCACACCACAATGGCAAAAACTACGAGACCCGTTTCACCTGCGGCGGAGGGGAAGGAGTCATGTACCCTTTTCCAGCCAGGCCAAGCAGTCCCAAGGGACTAAGGTGGACTTTCCCCAAGCCCAGGTTCCAGGGCTTGAATGAGACAGCACAGCACCTGGCACCGAAAGAGTGCCATTATGGCCACTGAGTGGAGGCCGAGGAGAGTCAGGGGGAAATGGTCTGTGGTTTCTGTCCACCACCTTTCCTGAACTCCACAAAGCTGGGCCACTTGGTAGAGGCCTAGTTTTACCAAGCAATTTGACTAGGGCAGTCAGCCGAGTTGCTTCTGGAGCCGATCCATACCCCACGGAGTGTTCAGTGGGAGTTCTTTGAGATCCTTTTATCCATTGCTCCTCGTACTTGGCACAGTGCCGGTGCACGGCAACCTCCCCATAAATCATTGAATGGAGTGCAAGGTAAAATGAGGACATGGGGTGAGCTGAAGAATTGGAGAAATTGTTGAAGGGTCCTTGAACAGCCAGACCTGAAGGACAAGCCCCTTGCCGTGGTTCCTAGGCCATTGCGTGGGGCTGGCACAGGCCCTGTAGGACTGGGCACCTGTCTGCCCTCACCCCCTGTAGCAGTTTTCTGAGCCCGCTGTAGAACAAATAACCATCAACTTGGCGGAAATGTATTCTCTTACAGTTGGAGTCCAGACAACTGAAATCCAGCAGAACTGAGTTCTCTAGGGCTCTAAAGGAGAGTCCTTGCTTGCCCCAGTGCAGCTCCTGGTGGCCACCCAGCAATCCTAAATTTGTGTTTACATCACTCCAGTCTCTCCCTCTACCTTCACACCATCTTCTCTGTGTGCTACCTGAGTTCTCTCTCTGCTTCTACGTTATAAGGACTCTGGTGATTGCATTGAGGGTCACCTGGGTAATCCGCAATAATCTTCCTATCTCAAGATCCTTGACTTAATCACATCTGCAAAGTTCCTTTTTCCAAGTTAAGTTTGCATTTGCAAATTCCAGGGATTAGGACTTGATATCTTTGGGCAGCCTTCATTCAAGCTCCTCTACCCTAGTTCTAAAGACAGAATCTGACAGTGATTTGGCTAAAGAGAAGCCTTGGTTTCTCACCTTTGGCCATCCA